AAAAGATTTTAGTCGCTTACCTTCGTAATTGACTTGACCATCACCGTCGATGTCAGCCTCGCGGATCATCTCATCGACTTCTTCGTCTGTTAATTTTTCACCCAAATTTGTCATGACGTGACGCAATTCAGCCGCTGAAATGAAGCCATTGCCATCTTTATCAAATACTCTGAATGCCTCTCGGATTTCCTCTTCACTATCGGTATCCTTCATTTTACGGGCCATCATTGTTAGGAATTCAGGAAAATCAATGGTACCATTACCTGTGTTATTAATAGTAATAAAAAAAAAAAAAGAAAATTAATAATTAGATACGTGATTTTTTTTAAATACAAAGAAGACTATTAATTAATGAAAAATGTATATATCATTATTTCGTTTTTAATATTATTCAAAATGAAATCCTTGAAAGGAAAGTTGGAATGGTTTTATTTAAGTGCATATTATTTATTATCTCCACATTTTACTTTATGTGAACCAATCGGCATAACTGAAACTGAAAGTTCTAATACTATACTGTTGAGAATTTAAGAATCTCGTGAACATATGATTATCATTGAAAAATATTTATTTGCAACTATATACATATATAATATTTATATTTGCTTATTTTCAATACAAACGAAATGCAATAGCTACAAAAATTGAAGGCATGACGGAAACATTAAAAATTCATTATTAAAGTGTTGATAGTGGAAAAATTTGGCGAAGCAGATTTACACCGAGTGGCTGGCACCAGCAGGCAGCAGGCAACAGGCAGACCAGTGACCAGACCAGACGAGTGCCGAAAATTGCTGCCAATTGAAAAGATATGGTAATAAGAAACATTGTATGGGTTCGAGACAAGAGATACAATAAAAAATATTAAGTTTTTCTTTGCTATAAATAAGCAAATTACCGTCATCAATGTATTAAATTAGCAATTGCTTCTGGCGTTGTGCAAATTTAAGACAAATAATAATGAAAAGCAATGAACAATTTATTGAAATTCAATAAAATATTTGAAAAAGAAATATATATAAATAACAAAAAAAAAAAAATATTATTTATATTAATAAAATAGAAATAAGAAAAACACTATAAGAACACTGCATGCGCACATATTCAGTCTATCGAGTGTCTAAAAGCGGACAGTTTCGCAAAGGCAGGGCGCTCACAACTATTTACTCGGAAATAAACAGATATAAATATAAATATAAATAAAAAAAGAAAAAAAATAAAGAAATTTAATTAAATTTGTTTTGGGAAATCCTCGCAAATTATGCCAAAAATTCAAATAAATGTATGATGCTTTATTATTTTCACTATGGAAAAAATTGAATATTTATTAAAATTTTCTTCTTCTTTTTTCTTTTTTTTTGACAAGATCTGAAAAATTTTGATGAACAAGTATTAATATTTATGATGTACCAAAATATTGTAAATATTTCATATACTCATATTTATTTATATTTATGTACAACATCAAAATAAATATTTTAATAATTTATTTCTAATTACTTTTTCCTTATCTATAGCTGGAAATACTTATTTTTGAAGAACGTGCAGCTATTTATATGTGAAAAAACTTTGATAAGATTATGATGAACATAATCTTTTTCACCAGTTTCCCAAAGAACAAAGTACTTTTTAAAATCTTTCATTAAATGCAGTCTTTTTTTATAAGCTATATACAGTAGACTCCCGGTTTAACAAACACTATTATAAATAACGAACTATCAAATGCTTGTATATAATAAGTTCCTACAAATATTGCATAATAAAATGCATTTCAAATAAGAAAAGCCCTTGACTTTATATCTTTGATACCGAAACTCTACTGTATTCGATAAAAGTTTTCCAATTTGCTTGTTTACAGGTTGGCTTTTCTAATAAATGCAAAGCAAAATGCAAATACATTTTTAAATTTAATTTTATTCTTTTTTCTTCTGATATACTCATTGTATCTACTGGGTGTGGGTGGTGGAAGCAAGTAGTTCACTTTTAATATAAATATATTAGACGATATAAAAATTACACTAACTCGCACTAGGAAAACAATTTAAATAACATCTCCATAAATTGTGGGTTTAATGCCGTTTCGAATATATTTATTTCTTGAATAATTGATTAATTTCTATTAGGCTAGAAAACTTTTTGTTTAATGTCTAAAAAAATATTAAACAGCACACACAGCATGTTTTTGAATATACCTATATACCATATAAAAATAATTATCAAATGCTAAAATCGTAAAGCCACTTTTATACATAAGAAGACTGTGAGATAAGTCGGTGATAACTACACTTAAATATCAATTTAACACTGAAGTAATATTTGCAGTTTTACCATGTTCACTTAGTAGATTTTTAAATTATATATTAGTTCCTCACACAATCAGCTTGCTTAGGACGATATGTTAATTAAAAAATAGAGATTAAGAGAAATTTCGATGCTTTCTGTGCCTCGTCACCTTGGTCAAAACAGTGTTGCTCAGTAATAAATATCAGAAAATCTACTTATGAAAAGTAAATATGTGTGCATATGCTTAATATTCACATAAAAATAACTATCTTATATTCTTAAGCACCAAAAACTAACTAAAATGGAAGTAAAAGCAGAAAATTAGGAATTTTGATATGACTCTGTAAACGTGTCTTTACCTCAAGATAAAAAAAGCATAAAAATGGTGTCGTATGATGGCATTTTTAAATTTAAAGCTCGATATCTTACTATATGTCTTACTATATTGATATAAAGTGTAGTTGAAAACCTTATTCAGAATAGCTACTTTACTGAAATTCGTTATCATAACGTTGTGCCCGGGATATCTGTGTCCTGTCACAGTACAACTTTCGGCGCGAAAATATGTAGAAGGACTTGAATAATTAAAAACAACACATTTAATAAAAAAAAAATATAAAATAAAAAAATGGAAAAGTTAAGAGATATATATGCATTAATAAAAATATACATAATAAACAGATTGATGATTTGGAACGTTTTTTACAAATAATGAAAATGTTTCTAGTTCAAGAAATGATAAATATTGTATGTGAAGTGGTCTCTTTTCAATATTTACCGAAATATGAGTTGTAGAAAAAAAAATAAATTTCTGAATATCTTAATAGTTTGAAACAAAATAATACTTATTTGTTCCTTTTTTTTTGTTAAAATTTAAAAGTGTACATTTTAGTAATGTGTAACTTGAGAACTACAGTTTATTTAAGGCAATAACTATTAAATTGTCTGTCTTAATCAAATTTAAACTTTATTTCTTTTATCATATTATATAAATATTAATTTATAATATGAAGTTAAAGCAAATTGAAATTAAATTTTGTTTTTAAAAACGCTTCTGTGAATTTAAAAAAAAAAGTGTATGTTGATTTAATTTTATTATAGTAATATTTAGAAACATCACCGATGTTTTGAAGGTTATTTTAGAGCGAAGAATATTCTTAGAAGCCTTTTTAAAAACAGAAATAATAATAAAAAAAATTGAGCTCATAGCTATTCTTATTTAAAATTGAATAAATGTTAATAATTAATTTGAAAATTTGTGTAAAATTTACAAAAAAAAATAAAAATGTTTTGTTTAAGTTAGCAAAAAAAAAAAGAAAAAAAATAAATAAATAAAACCCCACCCATAAACAAATAGGACATTAAAAGTTATTTCTTGATTATATCAAAATTGTTGGCATGGCAGATTAAGACTAGAGACAACTTGCCTCAATAATTTGTTGCCTTTTCCCTCTGCCTGCCGCAATAGCAAGAGCAGCGACGAATACAGCCAAATTAATCCTACGATAACGAAAAAGTAATGAAAGTTACATAGAAACGAAAACGTGAGTCAGATAAATCAACAGGAGTAAATTGCTTACAATTTGAAGTTTTCATATGAAAAACTTTCATTTTTACAGTCCTCGCTATTTCACAACCCGATGTACGTATGACACACGTGCATTAAGCACGAAAAAGCTATAATGAAGCACGCATGTGCTGGATAAGAAAAAAAAAGTGACTTATAAATCCAGGGCAAATAGTTGGCCCTGTGCAGCATCACAGCAGTTTGCAAACTTATTAAAGCCAGCAATTGAGAGAGCTGTACTCTACGAAGGACAGTGGAGAATGTTAACCAAAAACGACGACTGAACAACATACGAGTATAATAATCTCTCCCAAATTGTGTAGGGGAACAGAGCTGAACAGAACAGAAGTTCTGGGTTCAATGGCAAAATTGAAAATTTGGAGCAAACCTTACTCATTTTGTTTATAGGTTGTGCAGCTGAACGAAGAATCACAAAATCAAAGTAAAGTGAAATAAATACAAATAAAAATTTTAATATACAAAAAATAAAAAAAAAATTTTATGGTCTCGTGATTTAAATCAAATATACAACAACCCTTCAAAGAAAAAAAAATTTAATCTGTGTTGAAGCAAGGGTAGAAAGGAACCTTAAAGCAGAAAACTTTATTTATTTATTTTTTTTTTTTGTATCGTACCTGCCTAACATGATTCGAATAATTCTATGGAAGTATGTATACATTTTAACCTATATTTAGCTTTTTTATTACATCAATGCAGAATTTCAATGAAATTAAAACTTCAATCCTTCAAAAGTGTGTTCATTGAGTAATTATGTTGGGACGTTTCGTCCAAGTATCAAATTTAAAAAAAAAAATTTTTTCTCTGAGTATTGGATGAAGGAGAAAAAAATAAATTAGGTCATTATTTTGCAGATTAAAATTCCTGATGAATTTAATTAATTCATTTTATTGAATATAAGTATATTTTTTTCGTGTTACTGCTAACACGATACATTAATATATATATATCTATATATATAACTCTGCCTTAAATTCATATTTTTTATTCAAACAAAATTTTTTTTGTATACTATTTTTAGATTAAATACTCGTACTATTTATTGTATCTCATTTTTTTCGGTTTTATGGCGGCAAACTGAAAAAATTGCTGTTATTGTAAAAGCAAATTTTTACGTTTTTATATGAATTTTATTTTCGTTTCAGTCGTGTACACTTCATGAATTTGTCACCCAAATGAAAAAAATATGAAGACCTGTGAAACAAGCAGCAAAATTCATTCTGCCGTTTTGAGGTTTTTCACCTCTGGCGAAACTTTATTTATGCACTTTTGTTTATATGTGTTAAATGAAATTATTAGGCTAAAATTATAAAAAAAATAAATATTTTTAAACAGCAGCAGTAATATTTGCACTTAAGTATTATAAATGAAATAAAATGAATTATTTTAATTTCATTTCTTTGTTTTCAGAGACTGCTTTTTTTCTTCTTTTTAACATTTAATATATAATATTTAATTTTATTAGTTCTCTTTCTTTATTTATATGAACGATATATTTACGATCTCGAGTAACAAACTTGACAATGCAAAGTACCAGTAACAACAAACTTTTACTCGAGATCGTGTATACACCACAATTGGATACAAATATTTTATATTATATAAGTATTTAATCTTACCATCGGCATCAACTTCATTTATCATGTCCTGCAATTCAGCTTCTGTTGGATTTTGACCCAGTGACCGCATGACTGTACCCAATTCCTTTGTTGTAATGGTACCATCGCCATCCTTATCAAAGAGTGAGAATGCTTCTTTGAACTCGGCAATTTGTTCTTCTGTAAGTTGATCAGCCTAAAAAATACAAAAAAAAAAAAATTATCAATTATTAACAAATTCTAAGTGTTTAATAAAATTATATGAGAACTAATTTCTTATCTAAACAAAACGATAAGCTGGAATTCAAAATATATTGTTTTATCTAAACAAATCAATATCTTCTTGGAATGGAGCAGATATTACAGTGAACCACCTAAGTATAAGATATATTAGTGAACCGTTATTGAGTAAAAGTGCTTCAAAGTCGCATTTTATGGAACACCAAAAGATCATTATAATTTAAATAAATGGATATAAATTACTAAATAAAAGAATTTAGTTAACAAAATTATTGCAAGTATTAAATAAAAAATTTAAACTTAGTAAAACTTATTATTAAAGAACAGCTATTATTTATTGCGCAAGGTAGGAAGTTAGATACTACTGGCAGACTAAGACCACACATAGACCTGCTGATAGCTCCTTCATTATAGCTTGTTTAAACTTTTTGATCAAAATGGTTTATAGTTTTCAAGAAAGTCTGCTGTTATTTAACAACATATAAGTAAATATTTTTGCAGTAAATTGTAATGTTCAAAAATTTATTACAAGAAAATAAATTATAAAACAATATAATATAAATAATAATGTTAAATATAACAAAATTATAAATAATAAAATATATATAATGATATAATAATTAATAATAATATAATAAATAATAATAATATAATAAATAATAATAATATAATAAATAATAATCATATAATAAATAATAATAATATAATAAATAATAATAATATAATAAATAATAATAATTTATAAATAATACTATTTTTATTTTTAATTTAAATTTAATATTAATTCTGCCAAATAATTTTGTGACATTTTACAATTGTTTTATTAATAAGATTTAATTCATGATAATTTACAAGGTGAAGAGCTACTCTTGCTTTCAAATTATATTTTATTATAACATCTGAAACAAATAATATAATAAATATTTTTATAATTATATAAAATTTTTTTAATAATAAAATGAAATTTAAAAAAAAAATTATTCAACAAAAATCTATAAAAAATATTATTAAGAAATATAAATTAAATTTAAATAAAAATTGTTTTTAAAAAATTTATTATTAAATGCATTGAGTAAGTAATTATTTTTTCATACGTAATAAGGAAATGAAATTTATTTTATTTCATAAAAAAAAAGTTACTCAACGTATCAACAATACAGTCTTTGTAATTAAAATCTATTAAATAATGTAGACTGTTTAATAATTTTTAATTTAAAAATAAATCAGTTTTTCACAGCGTAAAAATTATATTTTGCACTTTAAAAAAATTCAATTTAATTATTTTAAAGTAAAAATTGTTAAATAGTATTTTTTTTGTGGAAAAAAAAATATTTTATTTGCAAGCTGTGAATACTTATTAGCGAAAAAACCTTGGAATATTGGCGGACCTTAACATTAATTAGATATTTATTTGCAATGAATTTAAATTTTAATTGAATTTAACTATTCAATATGTTTTTCATCATTCATTATATAAATAAAATTGAAAATTAAAGGACGGAAAAAAAATGTATGTCATATTGATATTATCGGAGAGATTACCCTCCATACGTTAATATAAACTTTTATGTTTAAGTTCATCTATAGTGCTAGAATAATAATAAGAATAATACAAATTTAGGAGTAAAAATTTCATAATGTTCATACAGTTCTTCACAATTCTTAGCGTCACCCAAACCATTAGCCATTAGCTAAATTCAGTTTCTACAAAACGTTCTATAATCTTAGTTTCTAAGTTTAAATTAAGTTCTCAAAACAACACTTTCTGCTTTCTTTGCGCAAAGCTTCATATATATATGAAGAATTATAACGCCAAACCGATTAGAGTTATATTATTTGAGGTTTTGTATCTGAAGTTCACTTTCCTCCCAGTAATATAATTTATTGGTATTAAAGCTTTGTCAATTAAAGTAAATTAAACGAAACAAATCTTCAGATTTAGGGAACATTCTCATTAGAAAAATTTCTTACCTTTTAATTTTATTTAGTTAGAAAAAACTTATACATGAATTAATAAGAGAAATTAGAGGAGAGGATCTTTGAGGGAATTATTTGTTCTCCTTTAATTATTTAAAAGTGTAGTCCAAAAAAAATATATATTACTAATAAAAAAAGAGAGTTCTTGGAAAAAATATAATCACCCAAATATTAGAAGAGACCAACTTTAATAGAATTTAAAGGAAAAATAAGAATGTACAGACCCTGATATAAAAATGAATAATAATAATAATACTTCAGATAATTGAAATAAAAAATTGGATAGAAAACAACACCTAACAGACAAAGAATCTAAAAGACATATCAGAAGAGGGAAGTTACTCTTCAAAGAAACTACAGATCTACAGATTACATAATAAATACAACAAATAAATATAACAAATAAATATAAAAAACTATAAAAAAATTATTGTTTTATTGTTTTAAGAATATCAAAAGCAGAACACTTTTAAGACAATTATAAAGAAAATAAGATTGTATAAATGCAATAAAAATCACTTAAAATATTTCGATAATTTATGTGAAAAATGGAAGGTTTTAGAATAATTAAAGGAAAATATTTCAAAATGATTGAATCATCTCACAAAAATTTCGATAGTAGAAAATTGTTATATTTTCAGGAAAACTATATAATCGTGTAAATATTTTTTAACATTTTTGTTAAGTTTTTTATTTAAAAATAATCAAATTTCTTGTATATTCAATATTTAATAGGAATATTTAAAAAACAAAAATAAAATTAAAGGAATGGTAAAGGATTATTTAATAGATATTACTCAAATCGTGACAAAACTATATTTGAAGGATATAAAACATATTGCAACTACTTTGTGAAAGTAAAAATAATATATTTTTATAGGTTCCACCAATTATTAAATTATTTTACAAATATTTTGAAAGATTAAGAACCTTTATAGATCCTGAGAATTAATCAATCATCAAATCATTATATAAAGGAAAGATGATAATGACTAAATCCTATCAGTAATAAATATACAGACAGGTCTTAAAACGTTTAAATGTAAACACAACAACAACAACCTTCCTTATATTTTGGAAAATAAAAATAATATAGAAATAAAATGATCTTTAGATCAATTTAATTAACACAGTTGAAGAATCGGGAGAACAAATAAATGAGAAACCAAGAGACATCTTTGTTGATTCACTATGAACATGGATTATATAATAATTATTCTATTCTAAAAAATATTAATTCTATTACTTTTTTTTGAATGGTGTTACTTTCCATGTGTTAAAAATATATAAACAAATAGCTTAAAACCTAAATACTATGCAAGACAAGACTGCCGCCTTACAGTAAATATTTGGTAGAAATTACAAATTTCACTTCAATATCAAAATTCAAACAGTTTAAAAATGTTATGGAGATCTTTTTTAATACACTATATACTATGTACGTAAGGTATATAAAAATAACATGGTGTACATGTACATGGTTTGGTTCAGAATATCATATTTGTACGTACGTTTCGCTAAGCTTAAAATGGTAAACTGACGTCAATAAAAAGCAAATATGACTCCGAATGACTTAATAAGAGTAAAAAACATGCACACATGTAAGACGTGACCGTAATGTGGAACCAAAAATGTGGAGATAACAATGCCAGCTGATTAAAAATAAATATTAATTAGCAAAGGCAAAACAATAAAAAAAAGGTACATGTTTGGTACCAAAAACAAAATGCTAATATCCCCCGGTTTCTAAACAATTTTTTACTAGAGAACCAATATATTCATCGTGTATGTGTATATGCAAAGAGAATTATATATATACATATATATATTTATTGTTCAATATAGAAATCAGATACAGAGACACAAAATAAATTAGACAAATAATCTGTGAAAATAAAAGATGAAAGCAAAATATATTCAGGCATATGTTCAGTTCATAAACTTTTGCGAACATATTGAGTATTTGTAATAGAATATAAGGCCACTTATTTAAAAAAAAATGTATTATTTCATTTTTGCAATTTATTATTCTGTTTATAGTCTTCTAGCGATACTTAAAAATATTCATTTATGAAGAATACATAATTTAAAAATACTTAAATATATTACTTTTTGAAGAAACTAAACTACGCTTATCTTCAATGAATTAAATAATTATAAAAATTTACCTTGAATACTTTACGACCATTTTAGATATAGTAAGAAGGAATATAACTTTTTTTTGCATATTAAGGTTAATAATGATATACGTTCAAATTGGCATGTATTTTTTTTTTTAATAATAAATTACAAATTTATTATTTTTTGAAATAGCTGTTTAAGCCGACCATTTCGAATTATTACAATAAACCAAATATATAATTTGGTTATTACATTTATTATTATTATAATTAATTAGACGGTTATAATTGTCGGAATTTCGCATTAGCAGTTTAACATACATATTATTTAATTTACCGAGACATAGAGACATAGAAAACTACTATATTACAGATCATTTAACGAAAGAAAGAAGAGAGAAACAGATTGGTAATCCTTTAGCGACCTATAAACACAGTCAGTTATGTTTTTAAATGAAATACGAAAAATGGGGCATTAAATAAAATTCCGGTTTCTTTCATTATCAATATCTTAAATATAAGTTATAATAGCTGCAAACATCGGACATTGTCTAATGAGCCTAAACGTCTCGAGAATGAGTATTAAATCCAATGCCTACCGTATAAGCTGCAGGGCTGAGTAGGAAGAAAAAGAAATTATTAAACACAAAAAATTATATAGATTATTATAAGCTATAGGATGTTTTAAATGGTAATACCGCCAAGGTTTACCAAGGCTATTACATTTTGTTACATCAATAAGATGGTAGAACATGAGATATTATTTGTAGAATCATACTGGGATCATGTGCCTATTTATGTCGACTGCCTTATTAAGCTATCTTCTTCTTCTTTTAGGGGTCATACTGGAAGCATATGG